AACTCAGTGACTGCGGCAGTAAGAGCGGAGACAGAGGACAGAGAAGCATGTGGGTCAGGAAGAAGAGAGGCGAGAACACGAGAGAGAACAAGACGGTACGTGTGGTAGTAGTCTGTGACAGGAGTAGAGAGGGAAGCAGTGAGAGCCGACTCAGGAGAAGGAAGTACTGAAGGAGACAAACGAGGCGGACTAGAACGAAACAGGGCAGTACGAAGGTCAGTGAAGGGAACAGGGGACGAGGGACGAGCACGAGGAGAGCGACGCGAAGGCCAATTGTGAGAAAGAGGAGGGGACAACGGGGGCAGAGGAGGAGGGAAAATAGCTGGGGAGGGGTCAGGAGGTGGAAGCAGAGGACCAGAGACGGGAGGAGAGGGGGGGGAGGGAGAAGAAGGAGAGGGGAGACCAAGGGTCTGAAGACCAGATACAGGAGGAGGAGGTGGCTGTTGCTGCTGCTGCTGCGGCTGCTGCTGCGGCTACTCTTGCTCCAGCTGCTGCTGCTGCTGCTGCTCCAGCCGCTGTAGCTCCAGCTGCTGCCGCTCCAACTCTCTCTCCTCTCGCTCCAACTGCAGCTGCTCCTCACGGGCACGACGAACACGGGCCTGGTGTCGGGTCAGGTAGGGGTGGGGGGGAGGAGTAGTGTCCGGAGCGGTGGTAGCCCCAGGACCGCTCTCCAAAGAACCAGTCACACCACCCCCACAGCCAGCACCACCAGAAGTAACAGGGTCCGTCCCAGGCTCTCCAGGTCCAGCAGAGGGCGCACCCCCAGTCGTAGCACCCCCAGGGACAGCTCCACTAACACCAGCTCCCCAAAGACTAGAGTCTCCTGCAGTCACGGGCTCAGCTCCAACTCCAGCACCCCCATAACTAGGACCTCGCACAGGTGCGCTCTCTGCTCCAACTCCAGCACCTCTAGAGCTAGCACCTCCAAGGTCCTCGCCACGAAAACCGGCTCCCGCAGGGTCTGCTGTAGGCTGGGAGGAGGGTTGCGGGGAAGGAGGCTGCACCTGAGGGGCTACCGAGGGGGGAGGGGTAGCGTGGGAGACACCTGACGGGGGAGGATCAGGGGAGGGAGGCTGTACCGGGGGAGCAAGAGGGGGAGCTGAAGTCAGGAAGAGAGGGGCAGGAGGAACCGGGAGACCTCGACAGGGGTACCTGACGTAGTAGGGGACGGACTCGTCGAAACGGACGTCACGAGAGTTAAAGAACCGGTGAAGGGGAGGGTGGTAAAAGGTGTAGTCAGACGAGTCCTCAAGGAAACCAAGGAATACGCAGGAAACAGCGCGAGGGGAGAGCTTGTCCGCGGAGGTGTCGCGAACAAGTGCCAAGCAACCCTAGACACGAAAACGCGACGCAACACCAGGGGACCCGGTCCAAAGACTGGTCGGTGAAACCTCTGGCCGAGAGACACGTGGCCAAAGTTTCAGCTGGTGAGCGGCGTACCGGATCGCGTAGGGCCACAGAAAATGGGGGGCACGGGCGTGAGTCATGGAGGTGCGGGCGATCTCCATGACCAAGCCTATGCGGCGCTCAGCAACCCCATTCTGCTGTGGGGACTCTGGAAGCGTCCAGGACTGACGGATGCCCTGCTCGCGACAGAATCCAGCGAGAATGCCAGAGAGAAACTCACCCCCGGGATCGGAGTGAAGACAGCTGACACGACGACCACGAGTGTCCGCAGTGGTAAGCAACCAACGGATCAGCGTAGAAGTCACGTCGGACTTCTTTGCCAGGGGGAACACTGTGGTGTAGCGGGAGTAGTCGTCAACGACCACGAGAAAGAAACTCTCTCGCTCAGGGCCAGGGCGCGAGGCGGGGCCCCAGACGTCCAAGTGGAGAGTCTCAAAGGGCTCGGTGGCTGGACGAAGGGAGGAGGAGTGAGGGGTGGCGTGCAGCCGACCCTCGACGCAGGGACCGCAGGGTGGCACAAGCGAAGGCGGCAACGACGGCAAGACACGCGAGAGGCCTAAGTCAAGACGCTGACTAGACATAGCGCGTAGGCGAGAAATGGACGGGTGCCCCATCCGGTGGTGCCACAAAATAGTGGGGTGGGCAAGCGAATGGCAGGAGCACGACGCAGCAACTGGACCAGACACTGGAACCCGACCAGACATAGCTACCTGGGGAGACGCGGCAACCTGGTGAGACGCGGGAACCTGACGGGGAACAGTGACAGGGGTCGGGGACAGTAGTTGCTGCTGCTGCTGCCCTTGGGGGGCAGTGTGAAGTGTGTAGAGACCAGAGCCCGGCTCAGCAGTAAAGGTGGCGAGAGGCGCGTACGTGTCCCCGTCGACAAAAACCGCAGTCTCGCCAGAAGGCTCAATCCACACACCCACGTGCTGACTCACGAGCAGCCTCACGCCCACCAAGTTCCTCAAGAACGAGGGGACGTGGAAGCCGGTCAGAGAACCGGAGGGAACAGCCGGGCACGGAAGCGTATTAGTGTAGCAAGCAGTGACTGGTCCCGAAGTGGGATCAGCCAGTGCTACAGAGACCGGCGTAGGAAGCGGGGAAAGTGTCGTGCGGTCGCGGAAGAAACAGTGGGAAGCTCCGGAGTCCAGAGTGAAAGACAGCGAAGCGTCCTCCGGAGCAGCTCCTGAACTAGTGTCTACACAAGTACCTACACTAGCAACAGGCACCTCAGCAAGACTAGCACCTAAGCTAACAACACTCGAGTAAACAGAGTCAGAAGCACTAGAGTCAACAACAGCATACATAGCATGAGGAGTTCCAAAGAGATCAACCAACTGAGAAGCCGACATGCCTTACAGAGCGGGGCCGTACGTTTGAACAAGGGGAAGCCAGTCAGGGGCACGGCCATCAACGCCGTAGGCCAATCGAATCGTGTCAGTAAGCTGAGCAAAGCACTGACCCGGTGGGTGGCTGCGACCACAAGGCTGGCTGCAGCGAGCACCTGTCAGAACGTGATAGATGCAGGGAGGGTGGACGACACCGCGCTGCAGCTGACGCTTGTCAGAATATATTTTATATATATTTCTGTATAACTGCATATAGTTATAGCTGTAGTGTAGTTACTGTTATAGTCCTTGTAGGTGGTGCACCCTTTGCCATCTTTCACTCCTATATCTTGTACTTTCTTCTCTTAGTGAAACCATCATTTTCCTTCTCAAATTTTCTCTCGATACTTGCCTAGCTTTCACCCTAGCTATGGCTACTATGATTCTAACATGGTATTAGAGTAGTTTCGACCCTTGGGCCCACCACCTACTGCCCTGCGCGCCACCCTCATGCGGCCCTACTCTCGACGTTCGGCACGGCCCGTCGCCCGTCGCCCCTAGGCCTGTCGCCCCTCGGCCCGTCGCCCCTAGGCCCCGGCCCCGTGGCCCGTCGCTCGCGCTCGACACCCCTAGGCCCGGCACCCCTTGGCATCGCCCCTAGCCCGTCGCCCGTAGCGACCCCTGTTGCCCGTCGCCCCTAGGCCCCGGCCCCGTGGCCCGTCGCTCGCGCTCGACACCCCTAGGCCCGTCGCCCCTTGGCGTCACCCCTAGCCCGTCGCCCGTAGCGACCCCTGTCGCCCGTCGCCCCTAGCCTCGGCCCCATGGCCTCTAGCGACCCGTTGCCCCTTGGCGTCGCCCGTTGCCTCTAGCCTAGGCCCAGCGGCCCGACTCGCCCTCGGCCCCTCGGCCCCTTCAACCTCGGCCCCTTGGCCTCAGGCCCCTCGGCCCCTTGGCCCCTTGGCCCCTAGGCCTCAGGCCCCTCGGCCCCTTGGCCCCTCGGCCCCTTCGATCTCGGCCCCTCGGCCTCTCGGCCCCTAGGCCTCAGGCCTCTCGGCCCCTCGGCCCCTTGGCCCTTAGGCCTCAGGCCCCTCGGCCCCTCAGGCCCCTCAGGCCCCTCGGCCCCTTGGCCCCTTGGCCCCTTGGCCCCTCGGCCCCACAGCCTCAGGCCTCTAGGCCCCTTCGCCCTCGGCCCCGCGGCCCTGTCGCCCTAGGCCTCTCGGCCCCCTTAACCCTCGGCCCCGCGGCCCTGTCGCCCTAGTCCCCTCGGCCCTGTCACCCTCGGCCCCTCGGCCCCGCGCCCCCCCGTCGCCCCTAGGCCCGTCGGCCCCATCAACTTTCTGCCCGATGCGCGCCCTGGCTGCGCGTCGGTTTCTGCCCGTCGCGCACCCCGGGTACGCGACGGTTTCTGCCCGAGGCGCGCCCCGGCTGCGCGTCGGTTCCTGCCCGTCGCACGCCTCGGGAGCGCGTCGGTTTCTCCACACGCTTCAGCAGTGGGGGGGAGGGGATCTGCAGCACCAGCCCCCCCCCCCCCCCCCCCCCCCCCGCCCCCCACTGCGACGGTTTCTTCCTGCCCGCGCGCCCTGCAGTCGCACGCGCAGCTCCGCCCCCGCCCCCCTCCCCCCCCTCCATGGGGACGGGGGGGAGAGGGTGTGAGGGGGTGGCGGATGTGCGTCAGCAGCAGCTGCCGCCAAGCCTCCTCCTCTCTCTCTCCCTGCCGCACCTTGTGTTGGGAGGGGAGGGGGAGCTTGGAGGTTCAGGGGGTGGCAGGAGGGGATCTGCAGCACCAGCCCCCCCCGCCCCCCCTTTCTCCTCCATCCCTGGGGGGTGACGGATTGTGGAGCAGCAGTGGGGGGGAGGGGATCTGCAGCACCAGCCCCCCCCCGCCCCCCCCTTCTCCTCCATCCCCCTGCTGCGGTTGCAGGAGTGGTGGGGAAGGGAATCTACAGCACCAGCCCCCCCGCCCCCCCCCTTCTCCTCCATCCCTGGGGGGTGACGGATAGTGGAGCAGTAGTGGGGGAAGGGAATCTGCAGCACCAGCCCCCCCGCCCCCCCCCTTCTCCTCCATCCCTGGGGGGTGACGGATTGTGGAGCAGCAGTGGGAGGGAGGGGATCTGCAGCACCAGCCCCCCCCTTCTCCTCCATCCCCCTGCTGCGGTTGCAGCAGTGGGGGGGAGGGGATCTGCAGTACCAGGCCCCCCCCCCGCCGCCCCCCCCCCCTTCTCCTCCATCCCCCTGCTGCGGGTGCAGCAGTGGGGGGGAGGGGATCTACAGCACCAGCCCCCCCCGTTCCCCCCCTTCTCCTCCATCCCTCTGCTGCGGGTGCAACAGTGGGGGGGGGGGGGATCTGCAGCACCAGCTCCCCCTGCCCCCCCCCCCCCCCCCCCTTTCTCCTCCATCCCCCTGCTGCGGGTGCAGCAGTGGGGGGTAGGGTATGGGGGTGGCGGGTGTGAGTGAACGGCTGCCGCTTCTCCTCCATCCCCCTGCTGCGGGTGCAGCAGTTTGGGGGAGGGGATCTGCAGCACCAGCCCCCCCCCCCCCCTTCTCCTCCATCCCCCTGCTGCGGGTGCAGCAGTTGGGGGGGGGGGGATCTGCAGCGCCCTGTTATGTGCGCCCCGCGCGCCCTGCAGCCCTGCGCGCCCCGCGCGCCCTACTGCCCTACTGCCCTGTGCGCCCCGCGCGCCCTGCAGCCCTGCGCGCCCCGCGCGCCCTACTGCCCTGCTGCCCTGTGCGCCCCGCGCGCCCTGCAGCCCTGCGCGCCCCGCGCGCCCTACTGTCCTGCAGCCCTGCGCGCCACGTGCGCCCTGCTGTCCTGCGCGCCCTCGCGCGCCCTGCAGCCCTGTGCGCCCCGCGCGCCCTGCTGCCCTGCTGCCCTGTGCGCCCCGCGCGCCCTGCTGTCCTGCGTGGCCTCGCGCGCCCTGCAGCCCTGTGCGCCCTGCGCGCCCTGCTGCCCTGCTGCCCTGTGCGCCCCGCGCGCCCTGCTGTCCTGCGCGCCCCGCGCGCCCTGCTGTCCTGCTGCCCTGCGCGCCCCGCGCGCCCTGCAGCCCTGCGCGCCCCGCGCGCCCTGCTGTCCTGCGCGCCCTGCAGCCCTGTGCGCCCCGTGCGCCCTGCTGCCCTGCTGCCCTGTGCGCCCCGCGCGCCCTGCTGTCCTGCACGCCCCGCGCGCCCTGCTGTCCTGCTGCCCTGCGCGCCCCGCGCGCCCTCCAGCCCTGCGCGCCCCGTGCGCCCTGCTGTCCTGCGCGCCCTCGCGCGCCCTGCAGCCCTGTGCGCCCCGCGCTCCCTGCTGCCCTGCTGCCCTGCGCGCCCTGTGCGCCCTGCTGCCCTCTGCACGCGCATCTGCAGCCCCATGCACAGCCCCTACCCCCCCCCCCCCCCCCCCCCTTCTCCTCCCTCTCCCTGCTGCACGTGCAGCAGTTTGGGTGGGTGGGGAGGGGAGGGGAGGGTGTGAGGGGGAGGTTGCACCTACAGCGCCAGCCTGCCTCCTCTCTCTCACAGCCGCACCTGCTGCTGTGGGGGGGAGTGTGAAGTGGTGGGGAGGCTCAGGGGATGTGGGTGGTGGGTGACACAACTGCAGCAAATGTCGCCAGGCCTCCTCCTCTCTCTCCTCACTGCCGCTGCTGCTGCTGTGGGGGGGAGGTTGAGGGGGTGGTGTGAGTCCAGCTGCAGCATCAGCCACCTCCCCCCACCTCCTCTCCTCTCATGGTCCCTCCTCCTCCTCACTTGCTCTCTCCTTCCGCTGCGTAGGGTGTACCCCTTCAGGGGGTGTTCTGCACATGGCTATTCCTGCATGCAGTTAGGAGGTGTGTCAGAATATATTTTATATATATTTCTGTATAACTACATTTAGTTATAGCTATAGTGTAGTTACTGTTATAGTCCCTGTAGGTGGTGCACCCTTTGCCATCTCTCACTCCTATATCTTGTACTTTCTTCTCTTAGTGAAACCATCATTTTCCTTCTCAACTTTTCTCTCGACACTTGCCTAGCTTTCACCCTAGCTATGGCTACTATGATTCTAACAACGCTGTCCTGACCCCTGCCCCTAAACCTGTTGCTGCCGCTGCTGCTGCTGTTGTGTCTGCTGCGAGGGGAGGGGTTGCTGCTGCTGCTGCTGTCGTCGAGTCAGGTACCACGCCGCTGCTCCACCCCCTGCGGCTGGCAGACCAGTAGGTGGCTGACGAACCCGGGCATCACCTCCACCAGCTGCAGCAGGGGAGTCACCGGCCGCTGCACGAGGCGCTCCTCCAGCGCCTGCACTCCCGCCGCCGCCGCTCGCCACGCCACCCGCACCGCCTCCGCCGCCTCCGCCCGCACCCTGACCGCCCCTCTTGCCACTCCTACCCCGAGACCGCGAAGAAGTTGAACAGCAGCTGCGGTCACGTCAGTAGCGGCAGTGGCGAGGGAGGCAGTAAAGGTGGGCAGCTGAGGGACAGTGCACCTGTGGAACAGTGGAGGGGGCACAACACCAGAGGCAGAGGCTACCAAGCGGAGGTTGCTCTCGACGTCCTTGAGGGCCGACTCAAGGACCTCAATAGTGAGTTCGCTAGGGTGCTTCAGAAGAAGCGCGTCACGAACCGAAGCAAGGCGGTCAAGGAGGCTAGCGGCAATGAAATAGATAGTAATCGCCATGGGGGGAGGGAGCAATACAAGCTGTGCATCAGTGCAAGCAGCGCGGTAGCTAGAATCGAGTGAGCGTAGATGAGTGATCAAGTCAGCAGTGCGCTCAAACGAGGCGAGGTTAGGAAACAGGAATGGAAGGAACAGGCGACCAAGAGAGACAGTGGTGGGAGTAGCGTAGCGGGCCTTGATCGCAGTTAGGAACTCACTAGCCGTGGGAACCTGAGTGAAGTGGGTCTCCTCAGTCTCAGGGAGGAGGCTGCTGAGGGCGATGCAGGCCGCAGCGTCACGCGACTTCCACGCTGTCACGTCAGCACGCTTGCGTGCATAACGGTCACTGTCTGCAGGTGTGGGGTCAGCTGCTAAGGGTGCAGGGTTAGCTGCTAAGGGTACAGGGTCAGCTGGCCCAGGGAGGTCACCGGAAGCGTGCGCCCACAGATTCTCGTGTGCCTGAATCTGGCTCTCAAGGGGGCGGCGCGCACGCAGGAGCCAGACCGAGAACTCGAGCGGCCTACCCTCAGCGTCAAAGCGCAGGACCCTAGGGGTCGCCATAGCGGAAGCGTAGAGCTGGATACTGCTGCTGTCGAAACCCTAAACGCCTAAAGGGCCTGCGTAGGGCGTGACAGATAGTGTGACACGACGGGACGGACGCGACTGGCAGGGACGGGCGCGACAGGCGCGGACAGGCAGGGCGCACGGGGCGCGACGGACGGGCAGGGCGTAGCGGGGGCGCGACGGACGGGCAAGGCGCACGGGGCGCGACGAATGAGCACGGCGCACGGGGCGCGACGAATGAGCAGGGCGCACGGGGCGCGACGGACGGGCAGGGCGCACGAGGCGCGATGGACGGGCAGGGCGCAGCGGGGGCGCGACGGATGGGCAGGGCGCACGGGGCGCGTACGATGGGACAGGACGGGATGCGCGACGCGGACGGGACGGGGCGGGACGGACGGCGCGACGCGGCGGGACAGAAGGGGGGCGACGCGACGGGACAGAAGGGACGACGGGACGGGACGGGACAGCAAGGACGACGGGACGGGACGGGACAGCAGGGGGCGACGTGACGGGACAGTAGGGGCGACGGGACGGGAGGGGACAGCAGGGGCAACGCGAGGGCAGGGGCGACGGGACGGGACAGCAGGGGCGACGGGACAGCAGGGGCGACGGGACGGGACGGGACAGCAGGGGCGACGCGACGGCAGGGGCGATGGGACGCGACAGCAGGGGCGACGGGACAGCAGGGGCGACGGGACGGGACAGGATAGCAGGGGCGACGCGACTGCAGGGGCGACGGGACGGAACAGCAGGGGCGACGCGACGCAGGCACAGCGGGCGCTAGGGCACGAGAGAGACGAGCGCGAGAGGTGCTAGGGGACAGTTCGGTGTCAGAGGTCCACTGGTGATCCCTGATTGACCATAGGGAAGGGTTACAGCCTCGTTGTCCTGGGGGGTTATGGGCGCACTGACCCACTACTTAACAAGTCATTTTATCCCAGTGGTCTAGTGGTTGGGATTCTGACATACGGGCGTAACAGGCACTAGGTACGGGACAGGCTCGGGCGCTACGGACGTGAACGAGAGGTATAGGATCCTAACCTAGGTGATACCATGTCAAGAATGAAAGTGTTGGTTTCACTAAGGTTGGTTGGGGTACATAAACCTAACCCTAACAGTTGTACCCCCTATAATCACTAAGACTTCAACATTTGACACCTAGCTAGGAGGGAACCTCGGAAAACGAGGTTGGGTGCAGGTTTGACAACAGAAAGCCGAAGGCGACAAGGTGGAGCCTCGACATCGTGGATGTCGGCCGAACGGGCGTTTTAGGCCTGCACAAAAACAAAATCAAATAAATGAGTTTATGAGTTCAGTCAGTTTGGGTGGAGTTGCATTGCATCATCCAGCTGCAACGCAAAGAACTAGCTAGGTTACAGTCTACATCAGTGAACGATTATGGCATCAGCTCGTCCTCAGCAATAAAGCACCTGTACAAGTACTACAGACAACCAGCACTCTGATTCAAAAAATGGCAAGGAAAAGAACCTGGAGTCGGACAGTGTCCTGCTAAAGCTGCATTGCCCATGGAGCTACGGTACATGGCATATTTCAAGTAGGCATATTTCAAGTACGTTAGGCATATTGAGGCACACACAACCAGCAGTTCGAGAATAGAAACGAATACATTCGAACTACATGATTTATGAAAGTAATTCAAACTTTTGACGCGATCCATCATTCCCTCTCCTCGCTCTTCTGCACATCTATCACTTGTCCAATGCACAGCTGTACACAAGGTGGCTGTCGGTACAACACCACCTCCACCTCCCTCTCTTCCGTATCGCCTTCACACTTCGCCAGAGCAACACCGTTCAGGTTCAAATTCGAAGAAAAACAGTCGTTGCCTGAGCATCGATTGCTACCACCCCCACTTCCGCTGCACTTCCCAGCATCCACGTTTGTGCTTTGAGAGCTTAAAGCAGGGCCAACCTCTCCTGCAATCCCATCCATCCTCTTCTCAACAAGCTGCTTTCCTTTGCCGGAAAACGACACCACAGAAGATGGGAAGTAAGGCAGGGGAGGAGCAGCGTCAGTATAATTCGGGGAAAATGTGTCCGTGCCTTCCAGGAGAGCTTCTCCTGCTGCCTCTGCAGCAATAGCACCAGCGACGGTGGGAGGTGAAGCAGTGGCGGCGGCGGTGGTAGCGTGGTGGCCCTTGAAGAGGGCGAGGTGGCCGAGCAGCTTGTCCTTGCGGCTGAAGGACGTGCCGCAGGAGCACAGCCAGCGGTCGCGCCCGCAGTGCTTCTCGTGGGTCTTGAGGTCCGCCACCACCGAGAACCGCTTTGCACCGCACTTGGAGCAGGAGAGCATCTTGGGGCAGTGGGTGCGGCGGTAGTGGTTCTTCACACACAGCATCGTCTTCAGCGGCACGAACGCCCGGTGCTGCTGGTTGCGCTTGCACCCCGCAAACGGGCAGCTGAAACGTTTTGGAGGCTGCCCGGTAGCTTCTGGAGAGTGCTTGCCTGGCCGTGCAAGCGCCTCTGGTGTTTTGAATGCGTCGCCATGGCCCCTCATGTGCATGCGCAGGTTGGCGTCACGCTTAAATCCTGAAGGTACAGTAAAAAAAAATGGAAACAGGGTGGCGTTAAAGAGAAGCTCATACAACGCAGTGCTCTAGCAGAAGCTATGGTTTGGATTTTCAACAGGAAAAACCTAAGCCTAACCTAACATGCGAAGCTCATCTGAGACACCCAAGAGCAGGAAAACAAGACCTTAAGACTGACTGACCTTTGCCGCAGATTTCGCAGAAGTGCGTGTGCTCCGCGAGCAGCTCTACAGGATCCATCTCGATAATGTCAAACGTTCCCTCCGGAAGCGGCGACTCGTCGTCGTTCTCCTCGTCCAAACCCGCATCCGCGATAAAAGCCCACCCGTTTACAGCACCAGGAACCTTGTTGTTCCCCGCAAGGATTAGTTTCTTCGCCGCCTGGGGTGGTCCGTCCTCGCCGTCAGCAGCGTCCCATGCAACTTCCTCGAACTTTCGCTTCTGGGGGAAAAGAGGTTTCCCGAAGAGCTTAGGTTCGGGAGCGGCAACAGCGCATTGCTCGATTGGCGCTGCTGGTCGCCATGGCTCGTTCACCACTGGCGCTGCTGGTAACTGCTGCTGCGGCTGCGGCTGCGGCTGCTGCGGCGACGGCTGCTGCGGCGGCGGCTGCTGCGGCGGCGGCTGCTGCGGCGGCGGCTGCTGCGGCGGCGGCTGCTGCGGCGGCGGCTGCTGCGGCGGCTGCTGTTGTTCCGGTTCCTGCGACTGCTGCTGCGGCTGCTGCATCTGTTGCTGCATCATGGGTTGTTGATTTGTACCGACAAAAGGAGAACCTGAATAAGGATTAGATGGCCCCGCGTTGTCAGGCGCCAGAAGCGGGGACGGCGCGAAAACGCCGCATCGCGCAAAGGCCGGGTCGATGGGAGGGGAGAGTCCGGCTTGGGGGAGAATGTTCGCAGCGGCGACGGCGAGTTGCGAAATCACGGAGGCGACGCCGACGGATGCTGCAGCCTGCTGCTGCTGGAATTGATCTGGCGTGGTGGAGATCGGTGGCTGCTGTGACATTAGCGGAATCAGAGACTGCAGCGCGCCGATATTCTGTAACCACGTTACAAAAAAAACATGGCGGGAGTGAATTGTAGTTCCAGTAGTGTCGACAGGTAGTAACATGGTCGTAAGAAAAAAAACTCGCAGGTCGACAAGCTGTTCTAGTGACATGTAGTTCTAGTAGTGTCGACATGTAGTACTTCTAGTGGGAGACAAAAACAGAAACGGACCTGCTGTAGAAGATTCAGCGCATCCATAAGAGCCTGCGACGACCCAGGTGCTGCGGGTAACATCGGGGCAGCGGAAGGGACGGCGGACAAGGGCGCAGCGGCAGGCGCGGGGAACAGCGGTGCGGCGTAAGGCGCGGCGAACGATGGGGGAGCTGCAGGAGTGGTTGAGGGAGGCAGGGTGGAGAGGGGTGAAGCTGCCTGGGTCTGCTGCTGCTGGATTGCCGGCCAAAATGAGTTGTTCCCGGCAGAAGGCTGTGATTGCGCTGGGATAGGTAACGGCTGGAAATGAAACGGTGTCGCCATTGTCTGGATATGACAGCGGGAATTACGGCACGAGCTCTCTGGGCCTGGTACTTTCAATCAAGGAGAGCATATATCACACGAGCCTTTGCCTCTACCTAGTGACGAACAATTGACCTCTCGTTATAATTTGGAGGAAAACTCAACATGCAGTCGCTTCCACTCGAAGATCCCTAGAGGCGTGTGGAGCTAGAGCCGTCACGGAAGAATGGCCGAGTCCGAGCAGGTAACCCTGACAAACTCAAAGAACCTCCCTCTAACCAGCCTGAGTGACAGTGCCGGAGTGCTAGTGCTAGGCTGCTGAAAGCTGCTGATATGGTTTTTTTCTAGAATGCTACCTCCACCAACAAACTAATAAAACTGTGGGGGGAAAGGCTGGCCTTGCTCTTCGGTGGGGGAAGGTTGCGGGAAGAGTCATGCCAACCTTGCCGCGATGATAATGGGATGGTTTCAAAAGGGCTGGGAATGTTTTGGAAGAGTTTGGGATGGTTCGGGATGGGTTGGGAGGGAATGGGATGGGATGGGATGGGTTTGGCGGAGGAATCGGACCATGTGATGGGATGCGGGAGTTATGGCCCTGATGACTCGATAGAACCAAACCCTTGTGCTTCTGCTTTTTCTGCTCCTGCCCCTGCTGTTGCTGTTGTTGTACAGTAACTTCAACGTCTCTAGTTCTGCACTGTACTGCACTGTCATCCATGATGGTGGCTCTTGCTGATGTTGAGAGACACGGCAGCAACGAAGGATGAGAGGACAATTATGAAAAAACGAATCAGAGCAACGATGCGGCCGCGTTTGGTTACCAGGGTAGCTGACACGTATCTGAAGGGGCCCGATTTGGTTTGGGGCAAAGAAAGCTACTCGCATGTGGTGTGGTGTCGCTAGGGCTTCGCATCTCCTGTCCTTCCAACAACCCAGACCCCTACAAAACAGGTTTTGGTTTGGGGCAGTTTGTTCCCGCTCCGCGAGAAGATTGCGCTGGCGGCTGGTTTGTGGAACCTACATAGGGGCGGAAGGAATGCCCCATGGTTGGGAAAGTCCGCGATCACGCGCGTGCTGGCGGATCCAAACCACAAGCAGCAATTTTTGGACGCTGGCAGGTGAATGGGTGAATCCCATGATGCTCTCGATTGCGTGAGATCCGTGGCAAGTGGGTGGCTGTGAAGGGAAGTTACGAATCTGATCGTTTTTCACTACACCTACATTGAACTTAGCTGTTTGACCTTTAAAGCCTACAACTAAGAAACCCTTCAGTACATTAAAGCTCAAGGCCCAAATTGTTCAGGATTACTAAAGTTGACCCTTGGGTGGTGGGAAAGCAGAGTAGGAAAGTCGAGGTGTTTGAGGGGTGTAGGGGTTTGGTTTCGCCCAGCTTCTCGCCACACTCAAAACAAAATTCGCTGACTCAGCAAAGCCTAGGGGACGCTCAGGTTTGGTTGCGCGAGTCCCATATTGCACAAATATTACTCGCCAGTTTCCCGCACCACCTGTTCCATTCGCTGACTCAAATGTTCTGGCCAATCAGATGGCTTCGTACATTTCGTAACCACAATTCGCCCAGCTAAAGCTGCAAAGCAGCACTCGATCAACCTTACTAAACTTGCCTCGCGCGGCCCGCAATTTGGGCCTTGAGCTTTAAACCAGGAAGCACACATGATCTTCAAGTTGATTCAATTACCCATTCCCTACTCCTTGAATATCCTTTGGTTTCGCAATCCCAATTCCCTACTACAATACGCTTTGATTCATCGTCTCTCGTCGTTCCTCGCCTCCCACAACCCGAGCTTCGGTCCGAGAGAGAGCGCTCGGGAGAGGGCCGAGGGGTGGAAATGGCCGGCAAAGATATGGCAGAGGTTGCCAAAGTGGCAGTGGCGCATGAGAGAGACGAGGTCCGAGGTGAGCTGGGGGGCAATGGGGAATGGGGAAGGGGATGAGGGCACAAGTGAAGGTGAAATAGGGTGGAGTACAACGGATGGTAAAGGGGGGGGGGGAGTGTCCGGCAAAGAGATGGCAGAGGTTGCCAAAGCGACAATGGCGCATGAGAGTAACGAGGTTGGGGGTGAGCTGGGGAACAGGGGGGCGGCAGAGGGGAGATGGGGGTGGGGGGACACAGGTGGGGTAGGGGAAGACAGTGGGGGTAGGGGTACATAGGAAGGAAAAGAGGAGAAGGGGGGGGGAGGGGGGGACTTAACCAGGTGGGGGGTGGGGGGGGGGGAGTTCAGGGGATAGAGCAACAACATGAGGGAGAGTGAGCAAACCAGTTCATCTCGCCTCTGCCTCAACTGTCTCATCTCCCCTCAGTGGCATTGTACACAAAGGGATGCCCCTTGTTGGTCCACCAGTCACAGAGTGATAATGCGAGGGCAACAGCAGCCCAAACCTGTCTCACCTCTACCTCACCTGTCTCATCTCCCCTCAGTAGTCCTTGTACATGTAGGGATGATCCGAGTTAGGTTGAGTCCACCAGTCTTCGAACACCGAACTCCAATTCGCCAGATCCTCGCCTCACCTCTGTCTCATCTCACCTCTGTAGCATTACACACATGAGGACTTAGCCCACAGGAACAACAACACAAGAGAGCTTAACTCACCTCTGTACCGTTGTACACATAAGCATGCCCCGAGTTGGGCTGGGTCCACCAATCCTCAAACACCAAACTCCAATTCGCCAGGTCCTCCCCGCTCCCCCGCAACCCCACGCCGCCCCCTCCCCCCGCCGCCTCCCCCCACCCACTCCGCCTTCCCCCTCCCCCCATCCCCCCCCCTTCCCCTATCCCCGCCCAGAGCTCGTCCACAAAAGGGCCAAAATCCCCCACAGGGGGGAGGTCGACGAGAATGGGGACGATGGAGGGGAGGTAGTGCTCTGAGGGGAAGCAGGCGGGGAAGACCCCTCGCACCGGCACACAGCAGGCTGCAAACTTATCGTAAAACTTGGAGTCCGAAATTACCTGGTGGTCGGGGGGGGGAGGAGGGGGGAAGGGTGGGGGGGTTGGTGTGGGGTGGGCAGGGGAGAGGGAGGTTGAAGGGAAACCTAGAGAAGCTACTCAGGGAACAAATCTTGGGAGGTCTACGAGGATGGGGACGATGGAGGGCAGGTAGTGCTCTGAGGGAAAGCAGGCGGGGAAGACCCCTCGCACCGGCACACAGCAGGCCACGAATTTGTCGTAAAACTTGGAGTCTGATATCACCTGGTGGGTGGCGGGGGGAGGGGGAGGGAGTGTGGGGTGGGAGGGAGGGAGGGAGGGAGGGAGGGAGGGAGGCACGAAGGAACTCAGGAAAGTTACTCAGAGAGCAAGACTTGGGAGGTCGGCGAGGATGGGGACGATGGAGGGGAGGTAGTGCTCTGGGGGAAGCAGGCTGAGAAGACCCCTCGCACCGGCACACAGCAGGCCGCGAATTTGTCATAAAACTTACAGTCTGATATTACCTGGTGGATTGTGGGGTTGGGGGAGGGAGGGGTTTGGGGCTTAGCATTAGAAACGAAGTGAGAGTGAGGGGTTTGGGGCTTCAAACACTCTCATCACACTCTCATTTCACTCTCATTTCACACTCTCATTTCACACTCTCATTTCACACTCTCATCACACACTCTCATCACACACTCTTCACACACTCTCATTTCCACTCTCATTTCACACTCCCTTTGCACTCTCTCAACACAAACTCTCTTCACACTCTGTGTCTTCACACTGTCTTCACACACTCACTTCACACTCCCATCGCACCTGCACGGCCAGGCTTCGTGTGAGTCCGATCCACTGTCCTCCCTTCCTCCACTGCTCCACACTCAGCATCCGCTCAAAGCAATTGCACTCTCTACACACACACTCTCTTCACACACACTCTTCACACACACTCTCTTCACACACACTCTCTTCACACACACTCTCTTCACACACTCTCTTCACACACACTCTCTACACACAATCTCAGCACACAAATTTTCTTCAGACATACCTGCACAGCAAGCCTTTGTGTGAGTCCGATCCACTGCCCTCCCTTCCGCCACTGCTCCACACTCAGCATCGGCTCGAAGCAGTTCGGAGGCATTTTGCAAGCCTGCATGCTCACACATTTCACTCTCATCTCTTCACACATGCATGAACCGTTTTCACACATGCATGAACCGTTTTCACACACACCTGCACGGCCAGTCTTCGCGTGAGTCCAATATACTGCCCTCCCTTCCTCCACTGCTCCACACCCAGCATCGGCTCAAAGCAGTTGGGGTTGAAACGGTCCCTCCCGCCCTCCCCTGACACGTCGTTCGACGGGATGTAACTACGCGGCGCAGATGGAACCGTACCGGCGAGATGTAACCCAGAGGAGGAAGTCAGTGACTTGGGTTGAAACAAGGTGGAGGGAGAGGAGAGGGCGGCGGAGTGATGAGGGGAGACGAGGTACGAGTAAACGAATGTGAAGTTATGGATAGGAATGCAGAGCTCGCATATAGTCACAAACCGCTCGTTGGAAAAATCCAAAAGCGCATTCGCTAGCAGACGACGCATGCCGTCCACTGTGCTCATGTGAACAGTCTTCGAATCGGCTGAAGCGGTCTCGCCAGGGGACCTGTCCGGAACGAATCTACCCCGGAAAATAGGGGGAAGTAACGACTTATCTATTTTCGTCTCGTCAGTTAACACATAGACTGACACTCTGTCCTCATGACCCTCCAACCATCTAGCCCAAAGCGGCGCAAACGGCATCGTTCCCGCGCTATAAAACAGTAGCGCCACTTTCGCGGGCCCTATACTGCGCCTTCCCCCTCCGCCCGCGCCTCCGCCGCCCCCGCCTTCCCCCTCCGATACCCCGCCCGCGCCAGCTCCGCGCGCGCGGCTGCGGCGGCGCAGGGGGACCATGGATGCGCGCCAAAAGAGCTCCTCGTCCCCCATGTCGTGCGTCAGCGGAAGGAAACGGACAGGAAGCTTCGCGGGCGTCGCGATCTCGTGCCCCGCGCCATCCGCGCCCACGTCAGCATCGGAATCGTCGTCGTCAGCAGCGGCCGCTGCTGCAGCAGCTGTTAGGTGGCCGCTGTTGCTGCCCGCTCTCCGAGGCTTCTCCTCCAGAAGCTTCGCCCAGTTAGAGGCTTCGTTACTGTCATCTTCGTTATGGGAATTTTCGCTTTCTCCCGCTTTCCCCCCATCCCTGTCCAGCCCGCTTTCTGCGATTTCGTCACCAGACCCAGTCACCCGCCGCGGACCAGCGACGACAGCGCTTCCGTCGCCGGAGTCACCTAATTGGTCGGCGACTCCTGAAGTTCCTGCGACGCTGCTTGTGCCTCTCAGGAGAGAGCCTGGCGAGGAGAAACCCAACGACGTTGACGGTGACGTGAACTGAACCTGCCGGCTTGAGTCTGTTACTCCCGAAGCTAACCCGCGACTAGTTCTGATATCATGGCTGTTGTTAATCTCGTTTTCAGCACCGGCGGACGCGGCAGCAGCGGCGCGGGAAACTGTTCGACGGAAAAGGACGGAGACGAAAAAAAGCGCGACGCAGGTTGTGATTATAGCGATGGTCGACAACGGCACGCGCCGCCGTTTCTGCTGGCGGATCGACCGCGCAGCGGCCTTGGAACCGGGCGCCTTCATGACTTTTGAGTCGACTCGTCCGCGCCTTCAAAAGTCACATCGACCGCGCCGCGGACTTGGAACCGGCCGCCTTCATGACGACATGGTAAAAGCCGCTGCTTTCCGTCGAACCCGTATGCCTATGAAACAAAGAGGCGTCTAAGAGTCGTCCAAAGAAACAAGCAACAGGAAATGAGCAGCTTTCTGGTAAGTTACTGGGGTAGTGAGGAGCTTGGAAAGTACTGTACTCGCATGTTCTCCCAAAGAGACAATCATCCCATTCAAAGTTTCGAGTTAACGAAGAGTGACAAAAGCAAACGCCAAACGCACGGGGGGGTATGAACTGAAGTGTAGCAGTGTGTGGAATCGCATACCTGGGTCACACTAACGCGTATATACAGGTTGTGAGGGTGTTCTGAGCTGGAATGTATATTGCACTGCCTGCGTCAGGGTCAGGGTGTGCAATGAGTGAGCGGGCAAGGAAAAAAATAATTCGTGGCTTCGGGTTTGGTCAAGGGAGAACCTCCGCTGACTCGTCCCACTACTACTGGCTGGATCGCCGAAGGTGGGCAACGCAGCACCTCCCTCGGCGGAACCGCTGAGTGGCTGTAACGCGGGGTCGCACACTCCCAGCACACGTTCATCCGCTAGGAGCAAATCCAGGGCGACCACATGACGCGAGAATAAGCCCATGTAAGGAAAATTCCTTTTCCTTACTTCGCGCCCCTGCTTACCCATTCCCGCCATCAGCACCCAACAGTGAAACTTTACCCGCTCACAACACTCGCCTCCACAATGACTCCCGCCAGTGTTCACGATGTGACCCAACCTCACGGTTCGGTTCGTAACCCGCGCTCCGGACCTCCGCCTCGACATGTCCCAACCTCGGCGCTAGGCCCGTAGCGCACCCTAATTTCTCGCGTTACCGTTACCACTCTAGTTCGCTATATATTCTTTGATCATGTCTTTGCTCATTGTACCTTTGCTTCGATAGTGCAATTCTCGCTCGCTCGCTCAATTGCACTCATAACACTTGGTATTCAGAGCCTACGATCTCCTCTCGGACCGCACCCACGCCTTCGCTTCCCCGCTATCTCGTTTTTTTTGGGGGGGGGGGGGGGGGTAGACGTCTCTCAGCGAACAAGCACCGCCACTCGAAGTGCTCTCTCGTAAGCACGCACGGCCACGATAGAGGCTCTCGTTGAGCTTGCTCGACACCCCCGCCATGGCCGAACTTAATCTCGCGACACTGACGCAGGAGCAGCTCGACCGTCTCGTGCGCCAACTCGAAGATTCGGCGCTCGAAATTGCGACACTCACGGCGGAACGCGACTCCGCTCGCCAGCAATCGATGGTGAATGCACCAGCACCAACACACGCACATGCAAATGCACCTGCACAATCGGAGGAGCCGATCTTCATCTCATCAGGCACACCAGCACAAAATGACAGCGTGGGACAACGCTCGGGCGTAGGCAGTGATGGCGCCGCTCACTCAATGCCTGGCATGGAGAGGAACAGGGCCGCACCAAGCGCACAAGGGCCTCGCGAAGCACGTCGGCACGTGGAGTTCGCTGCAACGAGTGGCAATAACGACATCATGGCGCTGATGCCACTCAAGCCGCAGCGACTGCCCTGCTTCGATCCTAGCCAACGTGGAGGTCCGACAGTTGAATCGTGGGTTTTCACCATGAACGTTTTCTTGCTACGACGCGAATTACGTCGAGTCGGACGCAGCGAAGATTCGCTACGCTTTTTTGCTGCTGAGGGGCATCGCCATGGACTGGTGGCGAGTCATCGTGATGTCGCCACGCGCCTACGAGCCACCGTCGCAAGAGGGAGGGCCCACGGGTCCAGCCGTCACATGGATTTCTTTATGCGAAACCGCCCAGTACAGCACGTGGGATGCGTGGTGCGTAGAGCTTCGGGCGCACTTCGAGCCGATTGCGGCTTCTATTTCAGTGCGTCAGAGACTAGATGCTTGGCGACAACTCGGGTCGGTCCAAGACTACACGAGCGGTTTTCTCGCATTATGCGAGCAAGTCGGCTACATGCACGAAGCGGAGCGGGTGGACTGTTACGTCGGAGGGCTGAAGCCGGACATCTTGCACGAAATCATGCTACGCGGGCTCTCGAACTTCAACGAGATCCTCGCGCTCGCCGAGAAGATCGATATCTTACGCCGACCGAGACCGGGTTCTACTACGGACAACGTCCTCGAGGACCGGCCGAGCACGCCACTGTACACGCCGTTGCAGCAAATGCAGCTGCTGCGCCATTTAAGGGGCGCTGCTTTGCTTGCAATAGGCCGGGCCATCGCAAGAGCGAATGCCCAGAGGAGCTGAGGCGCCGCGGAGCAGAGCAGGGGAGGGACTCTCAGAGGCAGGGAAACGCCAGAAGTCAGTAGAAATTGTCAAACATATATGCCTAGTTATATCTAGGCTTAGTTTATGTGTTTATAGTTGTCTAGGCTATAGTGGGTTTAGCCTTAGGGGGTACAAGGTTTCTCTCGACATTCTACTTGTACCCCTTCCCTTTTCTTAGTCTATTCATTCCTATTATTCTCACATGGTATAGAGCTGTTTTTCGATCCTTGGGCCCACCACTGAATTTTTCCTACCCTAGGCGCGCGTCGCGCCTGCCCTTAACGGCCCTTCGCGGCCCCTCGTTAGGCCCCTTCGCGGCCCCTCGTAAGGCCCCTCGTAAGGCCCCTTCGCGGCCCCTCGTACGGCCCCCTTCGCGGCCCCTCGTTAGGCCCCTTCGCGGCCCCCTCGTAAGGCCCTTCGCGGCCCCTCGTTAGGCCCCTTCGCGGCCCCTCGTAAGGCCCCTCGTAAATGGGGGGTGTGTGAATGGGGGGTGCGGCAGTAGAGGGAGGTTGGGTGGAGGTAGCCGTCGTGTTGCCAGCAGTGCCAGTAGTCCGGAGGTGCGCTTCCGGTAGCCCAGTGATGCCGCTGCGCCAGTCGCCCGTGGGTCCGTTGCTCCTGCCGCTCGTCTTAGCCGCGGAGCCAGTTACTCCTGTAGTCCGGAGGTGCGCCTCCGGTAGCCACAGTGCGAGCCGCTCCTGTTGCCCGTGTGTCTGCAGCTTCCGCCGTTGCCCCCTCTCTCCTTTCCTATTAGTCCAGCCTCCTCCTCCTCACTTGCCCTCTGTGATAGCCTCTAGCTTTACTTATTTGCTGTGAACTATAAACTGTTGCTTCTTGTAGTTGTGCTCAGAATGTGTGGTGACTTTGTGATCCACCCTGAGCTTGCTTTGCTTTGCTTCTTCTCTTGACTAGTCTTGTGACCATTGCTTGTTCTGGCTATCCCCAACTTCGCCTATAGGGGTGTGTCAAACATATATGCCTAGTTATATCTAGGCTTAGTTTATGTGTTTATAGTTGTCTAGGCTATAGTGGGTTTAGCCTTAGGGGGTACAAGGTTTCTCTCGACATTCTACTTGTACCCCTTCCCTTTTCTTAGTCTATTCATTCCTATTATTCTCACAGAAATCGGGCCAACTACTGACGAGACTACCTACTCGCCCAACCTCACTGACCCACAGTACCAGTTTACGCTATCGATCGGACTCGGATGAATAAGGAGGGTACAGCGACGGATTGCCCAGTACTAATTCACAGGAAAATACAGGGAGCAGCAGTGAAGATTTTTATAGACGGAGGAGCAAGTCACAGCTTAGTTAATACCGCAACCGCACGGAAGCTGCAACTGACACTTAGTCGGTGTTTACCGGAGATAGATGCACGCTTGGTCGACGGCACGCCGCTGGCCATACATGAGAAGGTGGAGAGAGTAAAATTCCGCTGCTGGGGAAATTTCGGGTTTACACAGGAAATGCACACGACGACATTGGACGGGCACGACATTTTACTGGGGCGTGATTGGCTGCGACGGTACAACCCGCGAATCGACTGGACGACGTGTAGCTGCACTGTGCGAAGTAGCGGTAACCGCTGGCAGTC